CATGTTAGCAAAATCATCTTTAAAAGTTGTCTCAAAGTGTAAAATAATCAGTATGCATGTGACATGAGCATGTTCTGCTTTAAATCATCTTTGCGACTTTGCTGACTTACCTTCTGCTTGCTGCTTTCTTGCAACCATTGCTGCAGAGAACTTGACTCCACCATTTGTGATCCCATGGTGTTTGCTCTTCAGTCCCAGTGATGTATCTGTTGAGGTTGTTTGATGGGGAAAGAAACATAGTGTATTTGAGCTTCATGGCTTTGGTTGTGCTTTGCAAAGCAGTGGCTTTGCTTTGTTTGGCAGGTAGTTGGAAAGGTGTGCGAGATGTTCAATAACATTAGCTGCTGGTATAAACTCCAATTTCAGTCCTTTTGAAGGTTTTTCTTTTTTTTAGATGTAGAGTAAAATACATACCTGGCAGGCCTTCCAGTAAAGCTTAGTTAGTTTGAGGATGTGAGCCTGGGGTAGAGATCAAAAGATTGTTATGATTTCTTATGCTTTGGAGTGTCCTTTCCTGTCCGTTTGTGACTGAACCCTGCAGGTAACGGCTCTGTGAGTAGCTGCGTAATTGCTCTACCCTGATAACAGAAAGTTACATTGGCCTGAGGCTTTCATTTCCTAGGTTTTATATTATGGTGGGACCAAAGCAAGGTTTGCAGTATTTTCCAGGCAGTTTTGAAAACTGCAAATCTGAAATGTACAGTCCCTTTCAGAGGTACTTTAGTTGCCAGCTCTAGAGCTTGTGTGAAAACAGTGCGTAAAGTGTGGAAACAAATCAGCAGCATGGGATCCCTGAAGTGGAGGCTGGATCACTGAAGTGAAGGCTGTGGAATATGATGAAAAACATCTTCCCCCCCCTCCTTCTTCTGACCCAGTGTTACCAGGATCTTCTATAATTATATGCTGGTAGATCAGTTGAAGTATTCACAGGACCAGAAAGACACATTGCCAATGGAAGAAGAGAATATTTGATTCTTAAAGTGAATCAAATATTAGTATGCAATGCTTTGAACTTCTCTGGGAGTAGCACATCTGGAATTCATATTGTATTGAAAAGATACTTTCACCATCTAGGCTACAAAATACTAAGAGAATCACAGCTGGCATCTTATACCAGAAAGTTTTCACATATAACCCTTACATCTGTCAGAAAACTCAAGCATTGCTGTCTTTATCAGTTGGAACACTGAAAGTGTCAAGATGTGTATTTGCCAAAGGAGGTAGTGCTGACCTGACTTTTTTTTTTTTTACTTATGTGAAATGAGAACCACCTTAGATACAAACATAAATCAGACTAGGTGCTCGAGGGACACTTAGTGATGGCACACAGGGATACGGTGTTGTATGTGCTAAGAAGGGGAATGGATTGGCAAGCTTTTTGTGTGTGCTATAAAGGACAATGTAACTAAAATATTGAAGCTTAAGTGTTGGTGTTTGAAATTGTACTGGAGAATACCAAGAATGAGCACCTTGTGGATAGTTCAACCCTGTTTGTTGCTTGAAGTTACGGCACCTTTTCTGGTTTCCCTGGGGGGAGAAGGGGTTGTGAAAGTACTCCCCTAAGTTTTGCAAGTATTACCTGGAGTCTTCACTGAGGGAAGCTGTCTGCAAGATTTACTGCAATGACTGGAGATTTGGTGGTAGATGACGCGAGATTAATATTAAAAATCTTACAATTTTAGACTTATAGAGCAACTGAATCTGTCACTGAAAAGTAAAGAAGCTATAATTCAACACCTTGAAGAGGAAAAGTCTCAGAGTGGATCTTATGATGGGAACTTATCAGCAGAAAAAATCAGAGAACTTACCCTTGCTTTGAGGCATGAAAAAGATAGTGAGCTAGAGGTGAGGAACCTAACTGAACAGTTATATGTTATAACTCATGGGGTGTAGGATTTTATAAGTTTTGTGCATGACAGTATGTGAGTGACTTAAGCCAATTTAAAAAAAATATTATTTTCCACAGTTATTCCCTCCTTCCCTTCTCCATTTCCTTAACGTTCCTTGGTTATATTGTGGTTTGGTGGTCAATATCCATCTGTAGTATCTGTGTTTACCATTCATTCAATGAGAGGTCATGTTTCCCATTGACTTTATGCCTGTAGTATAGATACTGTGCAATTGCTTTACAGAAGTATATCTAAAAAAATGCTAAATGTTAATAGATTCCTCAACAGATTACATAACTTCTGTAGAAGTTAAGAATGTGACTTGAGAGTTTATTTTTTGGGAAGTATCTTTACTTTTGCAGTCTGGAGAAAAAGCTGTGGTAAGGGAGGTAGTCTTAAAAAAAATCTCATGAAATAAAGTGAAAGTTGAGCCTTTAGATTCCAAAAGGTGCTAAGAGTTGGTCTTGTATTTCACTTGGCTCTTAAACAGGAAGACAGATATCCTGAAAGCTGAAATACAGAAACAGGTCTTAAGGCTTGTCTCTTTTCTTGTTTTTACCCATTGGTTTTTCAAACAATGAATTAAACTGGCAGAATTAAGTAAGTAATCATGCAGGCTGTCATGAAATTTTCTTCCCTTTTGTTGTGGAACTTAATATTGATCAGTACTTAGACTTTTTTGTTTATGTCAAGAATAGACAAGAGAGCCTTGTATGATTGGACTGATTAGTGGAATTAAAAATTTTCAGTTTTGGGTCTTCTTGCAATTAAATCAATGTGTTAGGAAAAACTACCCTGGTTTCACAAGAGTATTTGTGTGTCAAGGTGAAAATAGGGTCATCTTTAATTGTTTCGTAGGAGGTGGACAGATGGTAGGATCATTTTGGGATGCAGTATTGGAGAAAAAAAATCTGATGAAAACCTTTGCACAATTCTGTTTTTATATATGATTACTTTCAAAAAAATATTCTGTAACTTCCCCAAGGAAAAGTTCTAATTAAAATCTCCCTTGATAAAAGCATCTTGCTGATGTAGAGAAGTGTCACATAAAAATGCATTTTTATTAGCTCAGCAAGTACAGTTGTCCTGTCTCATGGAAGATCATGTTGTGTGGTGTTTTTTTCTTTTTTTGTGTGGTTTTTTTTTTCATCCTTAATTTGGACAGGCTCATACTGTGCCCAGGCAGATTTGTAGACTTTCAAGTAGCAACTGATTCAGTGTATTCCTGCCAAAAGGCATATACTAAGTTCCTACCACCCCCACCTCGGTTTTTAAGCACATTTTTGCCTTATTTTAATGCTTAATGAGTTACATTTGTGTTTAGAATTAATTTACTTGACTATAACAACCGTTTTGTTCCTATAGGCTGTTAGAATGGAGCTCAAAAACGAAAGAAATTCCTTTGAAAAAAAAATTCAGGTAAGTTCTAGTTTTGTTTCTGTTTCCTCAACTCCTTACAGTGCGTGTTGGGGTCTCTTCTGCTATGCTTTCATAGATACAGAGAGGTCTTGACTCAAAAGGCAGCAAAGCAAGTCCTCTGGTAAATTCTCTTTTATGTTGGATGACAGGAAGGCTCACCTTGTCTTTGAAGCAATTTTTGGTAAAGCTGATAGGCACGCTCAACAAATATTGAAGCTGATACTTATGGCCAGCCCATGAGATTAGGCTTCTTATACTACATTCCAGGCACATCTTTTAGACTTGCATTTTGGGAGTATATTTTATCTTAGTAATCTGAGTAATAAGATACAAGAACTCTGAGAGAATGTACTTATTAATGTGCAGTTACAGTATCTCTTAGTGGGAAGTTAATGCAACTTTCACATAATCTGATTTAGTCACTTCAAGAAGAGCTACAAGAGAGAGAAAATGAGCTTGCTGTTGAAAAGAAGAATGGTTTGAAAAGGGATAAAACCATTCAAGGACTAACTGTTGCATTAAAAGCAAAGGAAAAAGAGGTATGATGATTATGATCTTGTTTGTAGAACCCTCATTGGGAGGGGAGCGTGTGCGTTGTGCATGTGGCAGGGGTTGGCTGATCTCACTGTAACCATTAGGAGGCTTCTAGTGGGTCCTTAATCACTGCTGTCATTATCTGTAAGCAGCTCTGTTTATCTAGACTTTTGGGTCTTGGACTGAAGGAGAGAGGAAAAAGATACTTAACTGATACTTTCTCCCTTTGAGGAAAAATGTTTTCAGTTGCACACTGATTTTTATCAGCTCTGAGCACCGCTTAAAAGGTATGAGAAGTATGTTACGTTGTTGAGTAAGTGGGGCTGTCATAAAGACAGCTAAAATAGGAGAGGTTGATGTCAGCTGAAATTCAGATTTTGTGGAAAAATGAGAAATATTTAACTTGAGTGATAGGCAGTCTAGGGAGTGTTGTATAAGAACAAGAATTTCTGTATACAAGATTTATTATGATTTATTTGGTGGTTTTGTTTTTGAAAGTATTTGGTTTGTGTAGTTAGATGAATGGATAGTAAGATGGGATAGCTCTTACTGAATCACCATCCCTTGGAAATAACTCCTTCTACATAGTATTCGTTTTACTTTACTTAAAGATTGAGGAGCTTGTTTCAGATATTGAAGATCTAAATGCTTCATTGGCTAAGGCAAGAGAAGCAACTCATAAAGCACACATCCAAAAATTCAAGGTAAGAAGCAAGCAATTCACGTGGCTTCTCCCATCCCTTCTCCTTCCTTCCACACAGCAGGTAGTGCTTTGTATCTTTGAAAGCAGAGGAATGGAAATCAGTTTAAAATGTTGTTTTAAAAATTTAATTTTTCTTACTTTGAAAGAAATTTCCCAAATCAAATTATTTAAATGATAGAACATTAGAATGTCAGATTACTTATCTCGTTTCTTGGGTTTTTTTTCTTCTGTAAGAACTGAGAATTATTAAGGGAGAAATGTGTAAAAGAAAAATGAGTTAAAAATAAAGGCACGAGTAGTTGTGGAGTTGAGACGATATTGAGCTTGCTTTGTTGACCTAAGAACGTTTTGATGGTTTTTCCAAAAGTATGGTAACAGCACACTCTGGGTTAGCAGAGTTGAACTGGGTATGAGATGCTTGTTTGGATTTATTTATATAATAACTGTGAAAGCACTGTTTATAAATAGTGGAGTGTCTTTTGTGAAAATGTGATTTAGTAATGCTTTCATATTTGTGGAGGAGAAGGGACTTGATGATGATAATTTCTGCATTATCAAGATCTTGAATTTAAAATGGGAGAAAGTAAGAATTTGATATTAAATTAGACAACATAATGTCTCTTGTAATGTTTTCCAACTCATCTAAAAGTCTGATAAAACTGGCTAATACTGCTTACCGTCAGTGGTGAATCTGCCATTATGAAGTTTGTTCATTCACTCTTCAGGAATGGAAGAGGTTGATACCCTTGCCTCTGAAGTACGTGCACCTAAAGCTTTTGTGACTGTACTGTTGTTTGATTTCAGAGTCTAATGGAGTAGTGATGTTTAGCTCTCACAGAGCACCTCCATTTCTTCAAAGCCATTTATTTCACTTAAGCCCAAATTTTAAGTGTGCTCTATTGAGAGAAGTATATCCTGTTTCTTCTTCAGGTCATTTTGGTCTGTGTGTGAATCCATAGCTTACGTTTGCTTTTTTGTACCACGGAGATCCTGCTTTGAAATATTGCTTTACTTTTACCACATTCATTTTTATGAGAGCTTGCTTATTTTTGAGAAGTTCTAGGTTTAAAACGCATGCAACTAATCCCTCCCGTCCACAGAATCCATATTGCATGGTGGGTGACAAAGCAAGCCTTTCTCCTGATTACTCTGCTACTTAGCTACAAACTTGAGTTGAAGGCAGTTCTCTGTGAGTAGAGCATGCTGCATAACCCACTGCTGTCATCTGTGTGGGGAGCTTCAAGGAGGCCAATTGTGACAGTATCTGATGGGGAAGAACACAAATCAGACTTGTTATTTGGTGTAAAAAATATACTTATGACTTGGTGACTACTTGATCCAGTCTGGATTCGATCTGACCCAAAAGTAGAAAGCTTTATGAAATAAATATAATAATAATATGGTCTCGTTTGCACTCTGAACTCCTTTGCAGGTCAACCTGTATCTAATTCTTAGCTATCTAAGACTTTGTTATCCTGAAAGCTGTGTTACGTTATTTGAGAAGCGTTTCAGTGTGACATCTTCCCTGTTGCGTAACTGTCATTTCACTGTGTCTTTGCACCATGATTTTGAAGTACTGGAAAGAGGTGCGGGGGAGTGGGTTTGGACACAACAGGTGTAAAGATTTCCAGTCTCTACAAAATACTCTTACAGAACTTGAATGCTGTATTATGTTTCAGGGTGCTGAGGATTATCAAGCTCTTTTGATGGAAAAAGAGACCCTCTTAGCAGAGCTGCGTTCAGAAAACCTTACAAAGGATGCTGAGAATCGTAAACTACAAAGGAGGATTAAAAGGACCGATCAAGAGCTAAATGATTTGAATTTAGAAAGAGAGAAAATGGAGAAGGAGCTGGATGAAGCACAACTACAGAAGAGCAGAAGTGACAAAACTATTAATGTTAATATCACTTTTTTTTCTTTATTTCATGAAGTTTAAAAATAATTTCCCATTTCTGGCATGTCCTTTTCTAACAAATTTTTGTTCTTTAATTTGAATACTCTTTGGAAAGGTAAATGCATTTGCCTAAAGCCAGTGTTCAAAAGAATGTGCCCAAGTAGATAAAAATTCTGACACGTAGTCTGCACAGAAAAATATTTTAAAATAGATACCATGTTGATAGTCTTAGTTAGGTCCTAAAAAAAAAATCATTAGCCTTTGTAAGTGGTAAGTGGTTACTACTGGTTTCAGTTTTTCTGATGGGGGAGCCTGAACATGTGAAACAATGTACATTTTTTGTTTCTCCTCTATTTGTCTAGTTCCATGTTTATACATTTATCTTAAATTACACTACTTAAATTAAACTTTCTCTGAAGTTCAAATGCAGAGCAAGAGTCCGTTAGTTGTTGCAACCTTAAGCCACACTTCAGTTTGCTTTTTACTCTCATAGCAGAGTCACTGTAAAGGCTGTATATTTAATAATTTCTGCTTGTGAAATTCCCAAAGCACAGGATTAGTTGATCACAATTTAACATAAAAATGATGTATCTGTTCAGTAATTTTACTTGCTACATATTCTGTTTTGGGTTTTTACCTTCCTGTAGGCATTTAGATAAACACTTCTGCTTCCAGCACGCACTGCTCATGCAACAAAGTGAATGATCAGGTTTCTTCTTTTCTTCCTTTGAAAAAAGGACACCCCTTCTGCTGAGTGTTTGACATAAAGCATACTTCTCACCTATGTGTCTTGTCACATGAATTTTTCTAAAGTCTTGTCACCTGGAGTCCTGCCTGCATGCAAACTCTGGTCCTCTTCGGTTAGGAATTAGATTCCTGCTATGTTAAATTGCATAAAAGATTAAATGAGCTGGTATTTATTCAGTGGATGTTTTAGTTCAGTTATTAACTAAGGACCTTAATAAAGCAGGTTCACGAGGAAATTGCTGTCCCTGCAATATCAGTGAAAACCAGCAGAGGGATCTCTTTACCTACAAACAAACAAGTTATTCTCCCTCTCCTGCCCCCAGTTTAACTTGCATTTTGGGTTGATTGTCAACTGTAGTTGCGCTGCTGTCACAAAGTTGCTGTCTTTGGTGTGCTTTGAAATTCCTCCAGGGTGTTGAGGTTAAGGAGAGAAAGAACAGATCGCTCCTGTCAGTAAAGCAGCCACAAAGAACACATTTCATTGATTTAAAGTATTTTATATTTAACTGTCTTCTCTATTCAGAACTTTTTTCATCTTTCAGGGGAGTTAGAGTATAACTCTGTATAGGAAAGACAGGAAAAATAGAACTGAGTAGGGGGTTGCCAGGGGATTCGAAGTTCCTTGTATTACAGAAGCCTATTTGACTCTGTTAGTCCATGTTTTTCATGTAAATG